TACCCACATAGGAGATGGGTATCACTTACATACCCAGGAAAATAAACTTTTCCTTATCCCCACATTAATCTGAAAAATGAACATGTGATTCTTGGTTAATGGGAACCAAAATCCCATTGACCAACTTTTCCCCTCTCAAAATCCAAAAAAGAATGCCCCCTTGAAATCACCCTGATCTACACAATTCTTTGGAAAATTGGTGCATCTACATGAAGGGAAAACCTCTTTAAGAAGATTGACTTATCATTAGTAAACTTTTTATTTTTATTTTTAAAATATAACTAGTGTAAGAGCATGTGTTATGCAAGTTTGCAAAGTATTAATCAGATATACTATATTGTATTTGGATTTAATATTTATGTCCTGCTATGTAATTAATCATTTCTTTTGTCAAACGAGATATGGTGCTTTAACATGCTATTTTTGTTCTCTCACTCCGTCAAACTACAAATGGACATTTTAATAATTTTACCTAGAGTTGACAATGTTGACCCACCCAACTCACCCTCCTTAAAGCCCACCCACACCAACCCATATATCATATATAGTCTTCACTTCTACTCCTCACCACCTCTATACAACTCCATCTCCACCACAAGAAGATAGAGTCAAGTGACTACCTCGCCCTTTCTGCTTTCCCTTCCCCCTCTCCTGTCGTTGATTCCAGTTGTTTCTCTCGGTCCCTCCTCAAGTGACTACCTCGCCCTTTCTTCCTCCCTTTGTGACCCTCTCTCTAGCTCCATTAATAGTCTACTCTATTACCAATATCCTAATCTCCCTTTGTGACCCTCTACTTCTTTTGTGTTGTCTCCTCCCTAGTCGAAAGCCCCATAACCCTTGCTCTCAATGGATTCAAAGTCAAGTCATTCTCCTTTCAGTTTTTTTTTGGTGCAATCATCCTTGTTATCCCAAGTGGCAAACCAAAGAGGGGGTGAATTGTGTTCTTCAATCGATTAAGGTATTTTGATTTCAATGAGTGAGTGTGAATGCTATGTTGCAAGATCAATGGCTAGTTGTAACCATGGCTTTCAAAACCAGACCAGATGGTTGAACCGGAAAAACCGGGAACTGGTCACTTGACCGGTTTCTTTTTTCTCCAAAACCGTTGATTTTGGTCAGCAAACTGCTGAATCGGCTAGTTAACCGTTTGAACTGTTCAAACGGCTTTGCCCGTTTTTTAAATTTTTAATTTTTTTTAATTTTTTTTGTCAGAACAAGCCAGCTGTTCAGGTCGAACAGTCAGACCGTTCGAACCGATAACCGGACCCCTGACTGGTTCGGTTTTAAAAACCATGGGTGTAACAAATAATCATAAGTGCAATAATATAAAACATAAGAACACCAAGCATTTATAGAGGTCCGACTAAATCCAACCTATATCCTCCTTCCCATTCCCCAAGTATACTACCTAAGATTTTTTCACTATACTAGCTGAACTTTCAGGTGCTAGCAAAACCTTTACATAGTTAGACTTTCGGGTGTCAATATAACCTTTCATAGTTGAACTTACGGGTGCCAACAAAACCTTTTATCAAATAGACTTGCAAGTTCTATCGAAACCTTTCATAGTTGGAATTGGGCTCAATAGGTTTTTTTTTGGGAATCGCTAAAATCTCTACCTTCCTCACTCAACACTTTCCAGCTTAAGGTTTTTTCACTATTTTCAGCACATGTGAAGCTTAATAAATCTATCTTTTGGTTTCCCCACCTTTCCCCTTTTGTTTTCTTTTACTAAACCCTTTGAATCTTACTTTTACCACTTGAGTTCTTTCTCATTCTTCAAGAATTATATATCTAGGGTTTGAAGATGAACAATATGGCTATTTTTAATTTGTTACAAATTAACCAAACTTCGAAAGTCGAGAAGTTTTAAAGCTTACTTAAAGAGGAAAGAGCTGTTGTAATTCAAATGGTCAAGTAAGAACACTTGTTAGTAACTTTCTCGCATGAAGTAGTCAAATGCTTATCTCTAGTAGTTAACTATTTGCTCTGCCAAGCTCTGTTGTACTACTTTGTTCTAGTAATATACTGCTTACTACAGACAACTGTGGAAAGCTCAAGTGATTGACACCTAAGGTTGGGGGGACCACATCTCCGCCCCACAATGTCTCGCCCCAAAGCACATTCCTGCCATGTATTTGGAACATCTCCTGCTGATGATATCAGAATCGATGATGTCATCATCAGGAGATGCTTTCAATACATGGCGGGGATGTGCTGTGGGGCGAGACGTTGTGGGGTGCAGATGTGAACTCAGGTTAGGGAGTCAACTCCTTAGATTCCTAAATTTTTAAAAATAGATTGTTGTGATGTTTCACTTATGTTATGATTCAATAAATACCTTAGGCCCTTCCTAAGTTAACCATTCATCTCTAAGTTTTGGGGTTAACCAAGGTAGGTTTATATATAACCCAATATGAATATCTTTGCTGCTTGTTACATTAAGTTCCTAAGAGATATGATTCTTAAACTTAACTTTCTATGAGGGGAATATTTCACATTTCTTCTATCTTCATTTACTCAAACATGGGAGATTCTTGTGATTATCTACATACTTGAATTCAAGCCATATTATCTTCAATGAGTTTGTTACCACCAAATCACATAGGATCAATAATACCAACACAACCATTCGAGCATCAAATCTTTACCGCCTTTCTACAACTTTTGAGTTGGAATATATAATGTTTTAAATTTTTATCATTTTTTTTTGTGTTTTTATGGAATTCAAGCCATATTATCTTCAATGAGTTTGTTACCATCAAACCACATAAGATCAATAATACCAACACAACCATCCGAGCATCAAATCTTTACCGCCTTTCTACAACTTTTGAGTTAGAATATATAATGTTTTAAGTTTTTATCATTTTCTGTGTTTTTATGGAATTTCTAATTTTTTCTCAAGCATATATTTGTTGATTTTTTTTATCATTTTTATGTATTTCCTGCAATTACATATATATAATTTTTATTATCAGAGAAGTACGGACAGACCCAATGTAGATTTCTGATTTCTACTGCAGAGCTATAAACATTCAAAAGGTCAAAAACCCACACTCTATGCACCCATACCCACCTATAAATTGGCATTAATTCCAAGCGGACACCTACCCCAAATGTACTTTGAGCCTACAAATTCTGACCCTGGGCTTAACCGTCATTCTCCCTTTTATTATTTCTATATTTTATATGGTTTCAAGACTTTTAGCTGAAATCCAAAGCCTTTTTTTTCTCATTAAAATACTCTACATAATTTTAAATTTTCAAACAGATAAAGATGGGTGGCTTCTAACCCACAAACTAGCTATTAATATGGGTCAATAGTGGGTTGTGGGTTATGGGTCATTCATGGGTGAGTTGGTACCCAACCACATCCAACCAAACCCAATTCACCCATTTGCCACCCCTACTTTTATCTTTTTCTTTAACGCCTGTTTAATTTTTGGATTTTGAGAGGGGGAATATTGGTCAATAGTAAATAACTTTCTCATATGGGGGAAGTAAATAACCAATACTTGGGCCCCGTTCGCTTTTTGGTAAGTTACTTACCCAATTAAATGCAATTACATGGGTAAGTTTTTCCTAGAAAATGCTTACCTAGGTAAGTGCATTTATCTAGGGCTGTTCACGGGTCGGGTTGGGTCGGTTTATTGGCGTTTTTCCAACCGACCCGACCTGGTCGGTTTACCTAGAAATGAAACCAAAACCAACCCAATACTAGGTAAAGTCGATCTGGTCGGTTTTGTGAATTATTCTCCCGGTGTGAACGGTAAAGGTTCAAGTCTAAGAAGCGAAGGCTGGATGCCTGGAAATTAAAAATGATTTGATGGATTAAAGCTGATATTTTATATATCAGAAATTTTATATATAATATGTATATTTCCAAAATAAAGCTAAAATATATATATATATATACATATATATTAAAACTGAAATATATTAGATATATATAATATATCTAAGTGAGTTCAATTTCGGTTTTCACACACGAAAACCGAAACCGAATCGAACCATCGGTTTATGTTTTTCTGTAACCCAAAACCAACCGGTGCTAAAGAAAAATCAGCCAATTCGGGTTGGATTAGACCGAGTTGGTCAGTTTGGGTCTTGTTATGAACAACCCTACATTTATCCATGTTCTTTTATTTTTCAGGTAAATAAGGTAATGACCATTTTAGTCATAAAAAACCATTATTAAAATGAACAATTTTATCTTATTCAATTGTTAGCAACAGTCCTCCCAAGTGGAAAAATTATTTACTCGGCTAGGAAATGGGTATCACTTACCTACCTAGGAAAAATAAACTTTCCCTATTCCCCACATTAATCTGAAAAATAAACATAGAATTCTTGATCAATAGGAACCAAAATCCTATCAACCAACTTTCCCCTTCTCAAAATCCAAAAAAATAAGAATACCCCTTTAAGTGAAACAAAATTGCCCCAATACTACCACAAAAACAAGCCATTACAGTGCACATTTAAACATCTCCAAATGACGGAATGCGTTCTGTGAGAGACTGCACTAACTGTTGGGGACTGTTGAAAGCGTTCTGTTGGCAGCAGATCCCTTCCCCGTGCAGTGAGTTTCATGCCCAGACCCAGAAAATTGTGAGTAGAGAATTAGAGATTACCAACACCCTTACACGAAAATAACGGATAATGCTTTACTTGGCATAGCAATAATTTTTTACGCTGGCCAATTGAGGAAAGGGTTCTCGACTGGTTTAATGATATCTTGACAACTTCAGTCTCCAGTTGTCAGTGGGTAAAAAAATTAAATGATATGAAAAAACCGCTAATATCTGAAAAACTTCTTACCAGTCAACTGGAATCATAAACGGTAACCAATCAGGTGTTATTTATCAAAATTCATGGGTGGGTTTTGATTGGTCAAAACTCTTCCTATACGATATCTTTTCCGCACCATAGATTTTCCCTGTGAATCAAGACTACCTTCCTTTCAAGCAATAAGCTATATATAACACATTTTCAAAGAACAGAAACTAGTAAAGTGTTCAATATATGAAAAGTTGTGTAATGAAATGTTCCCTTCTCAATGTTCTCAAAGATAATATGGTAAAGTAAAGAAGGATGCAGTTTAAGGTGAATGAAGCATGAGGTAACTCATAAAAATTGCTTGGCCTTGATGACAAGGAAAATTTGTAACTAAAAGAAAAATAGGCAAAACCTCTTTTATGTTATATATGATACTTCAAAAAAAAAAAAAACGGTAGCACTCCTAGGTCATTCTCTGTGCAGCTTCCTTGGCAAGAAGCTTCTCCTTTGCCTTGGTTTTTGCCTGAGATTTGGAGCCCATAATACCACCTCCCCATTTCTTCCGGTATTCATCATACTTGTCATTAAAGTTGGCCTGTAACGAAAATTAGTGTCAAACAAAGTAGTGAAATACAGTCGGTAAAATAGGACAGAGCAATCAGACTCCAACCCACCTTGATCGCCTCTAAAATTTTGCTGAACTCCAACTTATCCTCATTCTTTACCGTGGTCAAACACAACACTGCTGCTGTTTTCTTGTGGACAATCTAAAAGATATGATATATAAATCAATATTTGATTAGAAAAATATCTTTGATAAGGAGATAATAAATGAGAAGAAAACAGTACCGCTCCCAAGCGTGATTTCCCCTTCACAATGCAGTAGGGTATCTCCATCTTCCTGCACAATGCTGGAAGCCAAACTACAAGCTCTATTGGATCCACATCATGCGCAATAACAACCAACTGTGCCTTGTTCTGTAAAGCAAATAGCAAAACCATTGTTACATTACTTAAAAAAGTAGATTACAACTAAATGGCAAGAAAGATAAAGTATATGTGTGCAACAAGCTAAAACCATACCTGCTCGATGAGATAGGTGACATGGTTTAGTCCATACTTCACAACAATTGGCTTCTTAACCTCAACAGTTTTCCCTTCAGCCTCAGCCTGGGCCCTCTTAAGAAGACGCTCCTTCTTTGCAGCTCTATCCTCAGGCCTGTACTTGAGAAGCATTTTGAATAGGCTTGTTGCTGTAGACGGGTTTAACAAAGGTGGTTTCACGTAAGCTTAACGCCATCTCAATAAAGAGGGGCATATTGACACACCATAGAATACAAAGAATTGAATAGATTAAGAAAATAAACCAATGGATATAATCTATTTAATCATATATGCAGATATACATGGGGAGCAAAATCATCTATACAAGCTGAACTTCAGAAACAGGCCCCATTACAATGGCAGCCACACAAAGGCATGGGAAGGCCAGGCAAGAGAAGAGAAGCAAGTTTCTTAGGAAAAATTTCAGTGGACAGGCAAAATGGAAAAACTGATGTCAAATGAAAATCTTCAAGAAAAAACTTATGAATGCAGAACATCAAAGCTTATGCCAAAAGTTTCCCCAAATCATTACTTTTATGGTTAATCATCATTGCATTTCATATTATAAATTCATAAATAAATAACAGGATTTTTGCAGTTGAATATATACCTAAGATGCATGGTTATAAATGTTGACATAATTCCTAATATTTCTACTTCTATGGATACCAAATTACCAACACAAATTATTACTGAAATCAACATATTTGTCAATAAAGTCAACATATTCATGTATTGTTTGCAAACAATACATGTTTGAACTTACATTATTGTCTAGTTTTAGCTCTTTTGTCTGTTAACATTAGCTTTTTAGAAGCTAAAATACAACCTCACAACATATATTTTGTCTGTTAACATTAGCTTTTTTGGCTCCCTTTATCAAAACAACATAACAATCTAAAAGAGTGTATCCATGCTCCCTTTATCATTTCATAAAAATATTATCATTGTATATTTTTGCACATTTCACAATTTTACAACCATGTCGATTTCTACATTTCGACATGTTTCGTATATTTGGATGACTGACATTTACACCAATACCAACATTCAAACCTTGTCATGTGAACACCAACCATGCACAAGACATTACAAATCAACTGACAAGATTTTGTCATGTGGAAACTTTACACATGTAGTTTTGTGAATGTTTGCAAACAATACATGGCGGTATAGAACCAGATTAAAAATATTAAAAATGTTAAACATAATAATAGTTAAGAATATAAACTTAAATTTTAAAGCAAATGTTAAACAAAAACTATTACCTCAAATCAAAAGACATAAGCATAACATGTAAAACATATTCGAATGAAAATAATCAAGCATAAAATAATGTTAAACATTTTTCATTTCTGATTTTACAAGCCGCCTTTGTACCAAGCCCCTTGAAGCAAGCCCAACAAATCCATATTCGGGTCTTAAATTATAAATCCCTACAAAAAATGATTTTTTAATTTTAACTGTCTTTTATTAGGATGAATGAATAAACAACAATACAAGTGAGGGGTTCTTGGAGCTTTGGTGCCACTAGGCATAAAAAAAGAACAAAAAGCACAAGTTTCGAAAAGGCACACACCTGGGATGAAGCACAAGGTGTCCCAGACACACACCTTTTCATAATGCTGCACCAGGGGTCTAGGCAAGGTGTATACCTTAAAGTGTGCCTTACCTGTGCGCCTAGGCACAACTTCAAACACTTTCTTTATCACGATTTAAAAATTGGCATTTCCCTCAGTCACTTAACCTCTAAGTTAAATTTAAGCATATAACTCCTTTCCAAAAAAACCGATTCTCCTATTAAGTATACATTAGCATATATTTCCATGGACATTGGTGCCACCTTACACATGCAATCACCATAGTTGGGCTCTGCTAAATGAAAATGATATACTTTGATCAGGACTAAAAGCTCCAGATACTCTTTGTAACATCTTGGACTAGGGCTAGAGATTCCTATTCCAATTTCAATAAAACACGCATACCATGGACTAGGACCTAGGTCTTCCAATACTCCAACTATAAATAAGAGGAACCAGAAGCACAGTTTAACTTTCTTTTGGCATTTCAGAATGCTTTTAGTGAAAGTTCTGGAGTATTTAAAAATCTTCAAATATTTCATATACAAAATTTCAGTAAATAATTTTGGTTCTTAAATATATTACATTTTTATACCATATTGAGGTATTTTTAAGAATTAAAGAAAATCTAGTTTATGATGTTATGGTTAGCAAGCACCCCGTTGAATTTTCCATTAGGACCATTACAACACAAGAATTCAGAGATTCACATACACATGATGAAATTATGATCTAAGACGATCCACTACCTCAGCAAACGAATTGCGTTAATCCATGAATTTACCATTATAACTTTACCATCGTCACCCAAGCCTTGTCCTGTTTCATCATTACATTATGTTCAGTGACATATCCATCATTAAATTATGGGTGCTTATTGCTTAAATCATTTTTTACTACTCCCAACTTCCAATTAAGTCCTCTTCAGTTTGCCCCTAGCTCTTCTAACCCCTTCAACTATTAACAGATCAATTTGGCTAACGGGTGCCGCAGAACTTCCAAAGGCTTAATCAAGACACTGTGACCATACCCAAATACACTATACCCGGACATGAAACTATTAAGAAACGGCAGTATCCTGTATGAATATAATCTTCTCATTTTCAGAATCATACCTAGGTTCTTGTCAAGTGTCTTTGTGAACTGGTTAAGCGCAGGTGGGACCTTCAAACGCTGCTTAAGAATCCTACGTTGCCTCTGGATGCGAACAACCTTAGGCCATTTCACAAACCTATGCAAATCCCTCTTCGGAGGCAATGCACCGCCAATGCCGAACTGTTTTGGACGCTTCTCGAACAATGGATTCACCACCTTCTCCTGAAACCCCCAAATCTCGAATTATAAATAAACAAACAACAAACGGTAGAATCAACTCATAGAGCCAGTCAAAAATGCTTATCCACCCCAAGTCAAGAACACGAATTACCGGTTTCTTCTTCAGAGGTGCTGCAGGTGCTTTTACGCCTTTTTTCGGGGCCTGAAATTTATTAATTCGACAAATAAATCATGTATCTTATGACATATCAATTCAAAAACTTACCATAAACGAAATGTGTTTAACAGAGACAATCAATATAATTAGACACCAATGTTATTCCGTTGGCACGTAATTGCCTGGATCTAACTTAATACAAAGCAAAATTGGCTTTCTGAATACATTTATGAGATGATTTGTTGTGAAAACGGCCCTAGAACCATAAAGAAAGCCCAAGGCAACAAAACGCTAGCCTTCAAACTGGTTGTTGAAGATTCAAATCATCCAAAATGTCTAAAACTAGGCTTCTACACCAATATGATCTACTTAACAATGGAGATGTAGGGGAAGAAAATGACGGATATGGTGAGACAGGACTAGCATTTCGATTTACCATCTGTGCGGAGAAGCTTCAGTCTGTCCCTTCGTCCGCTGCTGTAGGTAAGGTCTTGAGAACGGCGACGCAAAAACCCTACAACGAGACCATCATGTTGGTGGGGAAGAGAGCTTAAATAGCAACGAGATAGCGAGGCTACTTTGGTCATGGGCGGCTTTCCCGACCCGGAGACCCGTTTTGACTTTTGAGGCTCGCGGGCTCGGGCTGTAAGTATTAAGCCCAATTATTTTTCGGACAGGGCATGCACTTTTTAAATAAGCCCAACTATATTATATTACTATGTTGTGATATATTATAAAAGTTGGGGTGACTACATGTTGGGAGACCTGTTCATGGCTGGACTTGGGCTTAGCTTTACCAAAATTTGAATGGGCTCGGAAATAGTGTAAATCAAGCCCAAAGCCCAGCTCGTGATCAGATTTAAACTTAGTTGCATAATTGCATCTTGGGCAGCAGCAATACTTTTGATGTGCAAGACATGCGATTGGAAAAAAACAAGTTAAAAAAATATGGAATTAGAAGATAAAAAATTAAGGGTATGTTTGGTTTGCTGGAATAGAGATCTAGAATTAGAATCAGAATAGGCCCAACTGTTTGGTTGAGAGGAATTTGAATCCTTTTCACATTCCTGCTCAAATGGCATTCCCCCATTTGAGGGAATAACAATTCCCCTCCCCCTTTCTTTCACATTCCTGCTCGAACGGCATTCTTCCATTTGAGGGAATAACAATTCTCTCCCCCCTCCATTGGGAATGAAATCTCATTCTAGCTTATTCCAATTCCAAACGATCTTGATTCTAAACCAATTTGATCTTAAGATTATTCCAATCATCCAAACCCTCTTTTGTTATAGTCAATACGATGATTTTGTTTTCAAAGCAAAAAAAAAATGCCACATTAGTAAAATCATTTTGCGTTTTGTTGATGGGCAGTCTTTTTGAAGACAATATCACGACATACTTGCAAATACTCCCTTAGTAATATGCGATATCTATTTTTCGTTTGTTTCCTTTGGTATAAAGTATAAACATAGAGGAGGACAGGTACATTGGGGGGGGGGGGGGTACACTAGGAGATGGAAAACCAAACAAATTACCATAAAAAAAAAGGTGCCTAGGGGGACTGTCAAACAAAATGAGAATCATGAATTGTAAGGGCCTACGGTAGGCTGACTTGTTCACAGGCCGGTCTTTTAGAAAAAACCAAGCCCAAGCCCGGCCCATGAATAGACCTATCTTTGCGTTCAAAATGTAATTTCCATATGCTCATTTAATGTCATTTTGTATATTTGTCTTATTTCTTCAATTAATAAAGAGAGACTTTTTGAGGTATTCTTGTTACTACTTGTATATGTTCTTTATTATATAGTCCAAAGGTCACATTATAGGGCATTCAAATGATGAGTGAGACTCATCATGGGAGATCTAAATGACTCAGTTCCTTGTGAACTATCCCAACTAAGGGTGAACTTGGGCAATTCACTTTATGATTGAAGCATGAAAGAGTTAATAGTGATACCTTAAGACTTTGGGTTGCCATGTGGGTGTGTATCTTATGCACATTGATACTTATCTAATTGAATTGAATTCATCATAAGATTTGTTAATCACCATCAATGAATGTGATTACTCAAATACAAAGACTTATCTACCTTTGGACCTAAGGAATTCTCATAAGATTTGTTAATCACCATCAATGAATGTGATTACTCAAATACAAAGACTTTTCTACCTTTGGACCTAGGGAATTCACATAAGATTTGTTAATCACCATCAATAAGATTTGTTAATATCATGATTAATCACTTTGATATACTATGGATGAATTTACTATTGATTCCTACTCTAGGGATTGCCAATAAAGAATTTGCACCCTTAGACAAAAGAGTGTCATAACAAAGAAGTTGGTCTGCATCAAGACTTTGGCTATAAATCCTAATTGGACTAGGAATCTAGTAAAGCAATCCCGGTGAGAGTAGGAATCATAAGTCTTTAGGTAACACTAGGATGAATGTGTGAGGAATTATAATTAAACTGAGGCTCTTGGGGAGGAATCCCAGTTGCATGAGGACTCTTATATCCAACCCTAGAACTCACGAAGATAATTTATAGGGCTTATCCTATAATGTCCTCATCGATTAGAGAATCCCTGATATGCTCAGGTTATTATATCCTAGCAATTTTTTTGAAAACTTTTCCAAACAAATTTGACATATTCAGGAGGTTTTACTATCTAAGTAAAACTCTTGGATAAATCCATGGTTTTCAAAACTGGATCGGACCGGACGGTTGGACCAGAAAAATCGGGAAATGGTAAAGTGACCGATTTCATTTTTCCCCAAAACCGGGATTTCTCAAAAAAAAAAAGTTGATTTTGGTCAGCAAATCGCTGACCCAGGCGGTTAACCATTCGAACCGTTTGAACAGTTTTGACCATTTTTTTTATTTATTATTTTTTAAGTTTTTTGTCAGAACAGCCCCGAACGATTGGACCGTTCGACAAGGTAACTGGAGGGAACCATGACAGGTTCGGTCTCCGGATTGGTTTTAAAAACCATGGATAAATCCCATATTAATAGTAGTTGTTCAGACAGCGACACACATGTGGTCAACCAAAATTGGACTTAACTGTAATATTAAAAACATTTTTAATCCTTACCACACATAATAGAGAGGAAATAAAAATTCCTATCGGATTTTCCTTCTTTCATTCTTACTTAACTCTTAAGTTTTGTAAACCTAAATGGATCTCACACCCCCAATTTGTTTGCCTCCTTATGTAAGATATAGAGAGCTCTAGAACAACAATAATTCCAAACCCTAGAGTAAGAAATTCAAACCCTAGAGAGTGGAGGTCAAACTGTTATTTTTGGTGCCCAATAAATGCAAACTAAAGAGTTGTGAAAGCTGCAAACTGTGGGAGTAATGTGATTTCTGTCAAAGAACAACTTAGACTAATTGGATTATTGCATTTTCACCGAGAGTAAATTTTAGGATTAAAAAAAAGCATTCAAAGGAGATTTCTCAAAATTCTCTCTAGCCTAAAATGTGTTTGCAATATATAGGTATAAAGTAAAAGAAATGGCAATATAGTCAGATTCTCATGGAGGTCCTGGATAAACTATCAATTGATTCATTTAGTTTGTTGTTATTTCGCTTTTAATTGGTGTCAGAGATTCATTAAAAAAAAGCGATGTCAGTGCCTCCGATGTGTTTAATCTAATTATTTTAATATGTTTAAACTGTTCTAACAAGTTGAATCATAATATACATATGATGCATATGACAATCTCAGTAGAATAGCCACAGCTATGGCATTTTGTAGCTTATTCCGTGGATTAATATCGAAAGCTCTGTTTGGACCAAGTTGAACCTTAGTTTTCACCGTTTTTATTTTAGTGTAAGAATGAAATGTTAAATGTGAATGGAAAATCACCATGGCCTTCTATCTCCCTCCTTGACTCATGAGCTGGTTTTATGTAATTTTCTCCAATTGTTCCTAACAATTTTGCATACATTGCATTGGGATTAACGGCAATTGTAAGGGAACAAATGAACAACCAATTAAAATCTGATTTCACCATAGCCAATTATTATTTGTTAAATTTATTATAGAAAATTAGGGCTTTTGGAAAAATTATTTGTGGGACAAACTACAGAAGCTCACTAGAGCAATTAAGAGATAATGTTCGATGATAAAGACCTGGATTATGTTGAAGACAACCTTTTCTGGTAACTGGGCATTCTAGTTTTCAGGACTTGGAGCTTGTTTTGAATATCTTAGCTCTCGGAGGAAAAATTAGGCAGGTTACAGGTGCATCAGATGGATTATGATGTGACGACTGAAGAGCTTTGGGCTAAGGATGCCTGACATCTGATTTAGAGTGATTTTAAGTCATAACCTGAAAGTAGGATGCTGATTAAAAATCACCTGAGATTAGGGCGTTGATAAAAAATCCCTTTGATGTTTCATCGGAAAATGTCAAACCGAAACGACGACAGTTTGGAGGAAGATACCAAATATGAAAGCCGTTGATAAACAAGGTTTAAAAAACAATTAGCAATTAGTTCAAATAAATTGCTAGTCGGCTCAAATTCAACGGTCTGTCTTGACTCTTAACAATAAAGATATGATGGATCATACGAGGCATAATTTCTCATCCAAACAAACGATACTGATGATTCTCACCCCCATAAATGCCTTACAATGGCTGGTTTTAGACACTTCCAGGTACCATAAGCACAAATGCTTCAATCATGCCTGACCGCACTTTCTCAAACAAGCAAGACCTTCTTCCAGATATTCCTGTCGACTAATCCAGAACTCTGGTGCATCCTGCACAGAGTTTAAGCAACCATAGTAAGCCAAGGGGGTAATTAGCTGACCTCACTGCAACAGAGATTATTTCATGAATGCACACACATTTTACTTTTGCTTTCTTTTTCTCCTTTACCAATTTTTCCTGGAGTGGGGCGGTGATTTTACCTTCATAATTCCTGCAAGGACGGCACCTCCAAGGTACACCATATGCTTTCTTCGTGGTGGATCCTCTATTCGCAGCCGTAGTTTCTGTTCACAAAAATTTAGTGAAATAAGGTTAAAGAGTTGTTGACACTGAATGACAAAAGAAATCCAGGTCTAGGCATTGACAACGCATTTATATCTATCTATTTATCTTAAACTGGGGATTATTTTTTTATGGATTTGACACTTTTCAGACGTATGAGATCTGAAAATTTTGCTTTTTCAGGCTGCACGGGGAGTTTGGGTTTAGGTCTAATTAGAAAATCTGAAAATTCATCAAAAAAAAAAAGAATTAGAGAATCTGAAACACAAATTCAGATATGAAATGGTAAGACCTGGTTTCATGTCTTACCAAAATCAGAGGCATTCAGACATGATAAAAGGATGTTAATACCCTCGTTACTGTCATCTATTTAATAATAATAATAATAATAATAATAATAATAATATTATTATTATTAAATATTATTTCGTAATAGAAAAAATATGGCACAGAACAACAATCTTCCAGAATTTGTGCCAATACATTGCACGTGTTTTCATGCATCCAGGTGGCTCAAAAGTTGTTGCATTATATTGCTTCTCAATGCAAATTATCTTTTCTACAAAAAAAAGTGTAGCTGATATCGATTATATCAAGGTTTTAAAAACCGACCCGGAATTGGAACTATTCTGGCCACCGGTTTCTGGGTCAGCGGTTTGACCATCCGGGTCAAATAGTTCGGACGGTTTGAATATTTTAACAGTGATATGTCATCTTACCCATTAGATTGGAATATTAGGGTAAGATGCATATAAATATAAGAGAAAATAAAGATTGAATGATAGGTATTTGAGAAGTTGTTGGCTGAAACTGAAAGAGTTTAGAAGAGAGAAGAAGAAGAAGAAGAAGAAGAAGAGGACTTGCAGGCTGCAGCGGCGATGACGGCGGCGACTTGCAGCGGCAACAGCAACGGCGATGGCGGCAATAGTGACAGCGATGGTGAAAAACTGGTGATGAAAGTAGATCTGAGATTTCTCAGTCTCAGATCTCACTCTCTCTCTCTCGCAGGTCTGTCATCTAGAGTCTAAACTTCTCTCCCATATCTCTAATGTGAGATTTCTCTCTGTCTCAGACATCTCTCTCAATAGATCTCAGATCTGAGAGATCTTCTCTTTTTATTTTGTTCTGACAAGTTAATAAACCGCAAACTGTTTTCCGGGGCGAATGGTTCAACAGTTAAACCGTCCAAGTCAACGATTCGTTGACTAATTCAACAGTTTTTTACTAGAGACCGGGTTTGGGGTAAAATGAAACCGGTCTCTTGAACGGTTTCTGGTCCGAACGGTCCGACCATCCAGGTCAACGACGGTTCAAAAACATTGGATTATATACTTAAATGAAGCTCATATCATTTGAATCAACCAAATTGACTGTCTCCGTCCTTAAGCATTTTCTAATGGCAACCCTGGATGTAGCTGATAATAAAGGACTTTCTTATAATAATATAAATCTATTAAAAGAAAAAAGAGATTACAATAAGTCACCCGAGAGAGGAAAAAAAACCAAAAGAAAAAGAAAATAACACTTCACCGTACCACAACCCAACTCCAAACCCGCAAAATTATAACCAAAAGAAACACCCCAACTGACAAACCTTCCTAAAACAAATTAAGGAAAACAAACCGAAAAAAATGATATGACAACAGATTTGAACTGGAACCCTCCAACTCGAAAGACTGACAACCTACTCAATCTGACAACATAACATACCCTCCATCTGCTGGAAGAGACCGTACAACATATAAACATTATATTCCAACTAATCATCACATAGAAATTTTGCTCGATTACCCTACGTCTCTAGTGGTTTGAACGGCAACATCTTTTCTTCTCTTAATAACATAGATATTCAACTAAAATTATCTAAGGATTAAACAAACTCATCAGCATGCAGTTATGCTTTGCAAACAGTCAACTACTGTAAAATTACCTTTAGCCCATCTTTATTTCCCTTCAAGACAACTTCAAGATAGCGATCAAGAATTTCTTTCTCCAAACTGTAGAAACAAATCAGAAAGTGTCTTTCAACTACATTTTTTATGAGAAACTTACATTAAAAAAAATAACTTGAAAAAAATTTGGGGTCACCTCCCATCACCTGCATAAAAATTGGACACTTTGTGCAGAAAAGTACCAAAACCTGTATCCAGTCCACCCCTCCCAAGACCCCAGATCGTTGGGACCAACATTAGCAAATGGCCTTTACTAGGAACCAAAATATGAGACAAGGAAGGTTTTATAATAGGGATTTTTAAGCAGACACATGCTGATACTTTTACGAGAACATTATCTTATTACTGTTTTCAGAAATTATTCAAGTCAACTGGTAGACCATATGGATGAAGTAGCAAATTGTGTTTGCATGCATCAGATTGTCAGGAATTTCATTGATGTTCATATTCTGATAAGAAAAATGTCTTTTAAGTTTCACAAAGGCCATTACTCAGTGTTGGTCCCTACCATCCTGGTCTTAGGAGGGGTGAACAGGAAATGGACCTAAGCTCCAGCATTTTTAGCACAAAATGGCATCTCTAAGACTAGCCCATACTTTCAGGCTTTTCAGTTCAAGCTTTTACCATAAGATGCAGATTTTACCATATATTCAAGTTTCATACGGTAGAGGCAGTTTGGTCAGCTGAAATATAGATTTTTGCATATTTATAAAAAAAAAAAAGAAATTAAGAAAAAAAACAATGAAAAAGGTCCAGATTGATCTCCCCACCCTCTACTTCATTAGGGTTTAAATATATATACACCAAAACCATACCTACTTTTCTTCCTTTTTGTTTTTCGAAAGAAATTAAAAAACAACTTCCTTTTCTTAATTAGAACCGTAGGTTGACATAACCCAGTGATGCCTACCTCATCTGTATATGTACAGGTTGGAAATCCTGTAGTAGACCGCCTATCAGACATAGAGTCGGCCCAATCAGCATCAGAATACCCTTCTATTTCAAGTGTTCCCCCACTCTTGTATATCAGACCGCGACCCGGGGCCCCTTTTAGATACTTCACAATTCTCAGAACTGCATTCCAATGAGGAATCAGAGGTTTTTGCATGAACTGGCTTACCACACTAACTGCAAATGAGATGTCTGGTCTGGTAATGGTTAGGTAGTTCAGTTTGCCCACAA